TTGCTCCCATAAAGACTGACAGCCTTGGAGACCCTGTGGGGCAGTTCCACTCTGTCCTCTAGGGGCGCTGTGCGTCAGAATGGACTCCACGGCAGTGGGTGTGGTTTGGGCTTTGCTTCTGTGAAGATTGACAGCCTTGGAGACCCCGTGGTGCAGTTCCACTCTCTCCTCCAGGGGCGCTGTGGGTCAGAATCAACTCCACGGCAGTGGGTGTGGTTTGGGCTTTGCTTCTGTGAAGATTGACAGCCTTGGAGACCCCCATGGTGCAGTTCCACTCTGTCCTCCAGGGGCGCTGTGGGTCAGAATCAACTCCACGGCAGTGGGTGTGGTTTGGGCTTTGCTTCTGTGAAGATTGACAGCCTTGGAGACCCTATGGGGCAGTTCCAATCTGTCCTCTAGGGGCGCTGTGAATCAGAATGGACTCCACGGCAGCGGGTGTGGTTTGGGCTTTGCTTCTGTGAAGATTGACAGCCTTGGAGACCCCGTGGTGCAGTTCCACTCTGTCCTCCAGGGGCGCTGTGGGTCAGAATCGACTCCACGGCAGTAGTCTTTGGTAATGAATAGTAGTAATAGACAATTGCTAGCTCTGGTGGTGTAGTGCCTAAGGCTTTTGACTGGTAACCAGAAGGTTGGAAGTTCAGACCCACCAGCCACTCTGCCGAAGGATGACTGAGCAGTCTACTTCCGTAAAGATTTACTGGCTCGGAAACCCAAAGGGGGTTGCTTTGATTCAGAATCAACTCCATGGCAGTGAGTTTGTTTTTTTTTTTTTTGTTTAACGTGTACTGAGTATAAGAATGTTCCAGCATCTTTGGTCTGTTTGTGCTACCTTTAGTCTTGCTGAGACTTCAATAACATGGTCATCCTTGTTTAACCAGTAGAGTTTCTGAGGCTCAGAAACTTTTCAAAAACTTGCTAAAATTCAGGCAAATGATCCCTAGTGGTGTAACCAGTAAGCATTTGGTTGCTAACCAAAAGATTGACAGTTCCAGTTCACCCAGGGGCTCTAGGGAGAGGGCCCTGGAGATTGGCTTCAGGACTCCAGCCTCGGAAACCCTGTGGGACAGTTGTACTCCGTCACGTGGGGTCGCTGCGAGGCCAAGTCAACGGCACCCAACAACATGGTTCAGAGCGTGGGTAGGAGTGAGAGGCACGACCCTTCTCACAGTCGATGTTCTCCTCGCCCCCTTGCTCTTTCCCCCCACAGGGCTGCGGACTTCATTCTTCCTTTTTTTTTTTTTTTTGTTTTGTTCACTTTTTATTGTGATTTCAGTGAAAGTTTACAGAGCAAATTCGCTTTCCATACAGCAGCTCACATACACTTTGTCTCATGACATTGACTACAATTTCC